GCTGAGCTGTTCCTGCTCGTTTGTGCTGTCAGGGCTGAGGGTTCAGGTTGTGGCCGGGGTAGATCCACTGCAAGCCACGCCTGAAACACCAGAAAAACAGCAAGTAAGTACACGGGGGGCAAAGGGAAGGGGTCTGGGGACAAACCCGACGCAATGCGGGGAGGATGGAAGTCACCTACCTACTCACGGGCATGTTCACCATTGGATCCCTGCCCTGGGCTGACTTGAATGATTTGATCCGCCTGCGGCTGGGCAGTTAACCCCATTCTTCTTCCTTCCTTCCAACCTGCACTCTGCAGCAGAAAGATGAAGTGACTGAAGTGCAACAGCGTCTTGTACAGCAACAGCCAATTTGGACCCCAACATCTCTGGAAAGTTTCGAAATCATGTCAATGCATTACACGCATTACACGCATGTCGGTCGATCCTTTTCCTTCAAACGACGAGGAACCACGACAACATGCCTAGCCGTCAACAGTTCCCGTCCCGTTTCAGCAACCGCGTTGGCCGACCATACATCGTGAAACACACTACACTTTCCAGGCCTCGATTTGGCCGAATCTGAACTACATGATCTTGTCTTTCTTCTGGTTCTTTTCTTTTTACATCTTTAAGGTAAAGTTTGCGAACTTGCTTGCAATAGCGTCCATCCGTCCTCCAATCTGAAATAGCGAATCAGATACGCCTCCGCCGGGTCGTATTTCCTCAAGTCTCGCCTTTTCTCTTCACACCTCTGCCAGTATTTACACTACTTTGTCAGCGCGGTAAAATTGCATGTGGCGATAACTTTGGTTCTCCTACAGAGAACCTACGGTTGGTATGCCCGCCGCCAACCAGTCAAATTCTGCGAGGTGGCGGTACCACGCTAACAAAATGCATGCCGGCAGAGATGTACAAACAGGTAATCCGCGAAGCGCTTGGCCCCCATTTCTGTCAAGGTGGTTTTGATTGTAGATATCTCGGAACAAAGATCAGACAACTAAGACATAGAATGGAACCTTGACAGCATCTGACACATACACGCACAGAGAGAAAGAGAGAGAGAGAGAGAATGATTATGCCCAAGTCACCTGTACGTCAAGCTTTCGGAAAACGGCTCATGATCGCCAAGTCGCCCTCATCAAACACAGATCGATGTCTTTGGGTTTGCGTGTCGGTTCCAAACCCGGACACAAACCATCGAAGTCGTTGTTGTATTGATGTCTTGTCTCATTGTCCTGTCATTAATGTTCTTGTGAGACTTAACAACCAACAGATGATGACCAAACAGAGAAAAGGCAAGAAAGCTGCAATTTAATTCAACCAAAAAATAAAAGAATAAGATAAAGGGGGGTCTAGAAGGGTTCTGCATGCTGCCTGTCTCGTCTGTCTTATTTGGCTTTGTCTTGTATGTGTTTCACCTCGCTCGTCGTGTGTAGTGTGTATGCAGATGCTTCTGTCTGTATCACCACCACGCCACCGACATCGAATAACCCGTTCTGCCGTCCTGTTGTTCCGGCAGGCATACCACGACTAGTCTACGGACTCGGTCACTCGAGTTCAATTGACTACAGGGGCGGTCCGTGTTACCATGCAATTTACTTTTTTTCTGTTGCGAGGATGGGGGAAATGGGGGTAGTACCACCTATCACAAGACACCACAACACCATCATTATTGGAGATCACCAACGAGATAATTTTCGTCGCGACTGGGTTTTGTGTATGTGTGCATCAAGTAGAGTATTGCATTGCTGCTATGTGCAGATGAAAGGTGAGGTAAGGTAAAGAGAGGTATGTAGGCTGATGTATGCTACGCTATCATCCAAGCAATGTACGAAAGAAAAGGTGTTGTGTGTTATGTGTGTGTGTGAACCGTGAGACCCCGGAATCAACGCCGCCGCCCCGACCGACAAATGAACCGCGACCGTCGCCGTGACCATGACCCGTTACCCAAAAACGCCCCGGTGTTACCCCTTTCCCTTCACCGTACCAAATCGGACCCCAAAAACAAACCGACCGACCGACCGACTGAGTTGGCTATCAAAATTCCTCCCAAAAAGAAACAAACCCATATTGCCCCAGTCCATGTCTCTATATAGTAACCCATCCATCAAACATGTCTTCCACCGTAACACACGATAATGAACAAGAAGAAGAAAGATTGGAAAGAACAAACCGAAGAGAGAGTCTAGCACAAGACGACATGCTTCACGAAATCTCGCTCGCACCTCTCTTCCGCCCCGCGCTCCCTGACCCCGTCGTACCCAACTGGACCTCCTCCGACCCCATCCCCTCTGGCGACATAACAACAGCATCTTCCACCTTTGTACGCTGCTGCTCTTGCTGATGTTGAGAGGAAGAAGGAACAGCAGTCACCTTCACCTTAGGCCCCAGATTGCCCGTGTTCCCATATACGCCGGGGCCAAAGCATTCATACTCCGCGTTCTCCTCTCCATCTTCTCCCTCTCCATATCCTTCTTCTTCCTCTCCTTCTTCTTCTTCTTCATACTCTTCGCCTTCATAGTCGTCCTCGTACTCATCTTCTTCAAAGTACTCCTCCTCCGAACTCTCCTCGCTGTCGCTCTCGTCTAGGTTGAGCACCCCCAAAAGCGGAATGTCGATTCTAGCCAGCTGTGACTTGATCAGGTTGTCCGCGATGGTGAACAGCTGTGAATCTTTGTCTTCGGTCTTGGTTTCTGGCAACTCAACCTCGTTGCCGCCCAGAGCAAAGATGGCTTCGGCTTGGTCTTGAAGAGGGTCGTGGACTTCTGGTGATGGCTGGGGTACGGGTACTGGTACTTTTCCCTTTTCTGTTGCCGTCGCCGTGGGTGTGGTAAAAGCGGCAGCAGCAGGAGAAGAAGAAGAAGAGGAAGAAGAAGGTGGCAAAACTCCAATAGGCACATCCAAAACCCACGTCCGTACCACCTCCCCCTTGGTCACCTTTTCTCCTCCTCTTCCTCCTCCTCCTCCCCGTAGGGCGCGCTGCCTCTCCCTCTGCTCCAACCCGCGTTTAAACACCCTCTTCTGTTTCCGCCGCCGCCGTTCGATCCGATCGCGAATATACCAGGCTACCACCAACATGGTGGCCTGCATCATCTCCTGGCACTTGGCGCGCTGCATGTTGGCCCACTGCTGGCACCGTTGCTGCTGGAAGTTGGCGATGGCTTGGCAGCGTTGTTGGTAGTAGGCGGCGATGCGCGAGGCCATGGCGAGGTATTTGGGATCCAGAGTGGGGATTGTCGTGGTTGCTTGTTGTTGTTGTTGTGTTGAATCTGCTGGGGATGTCGTCTTCATGCCAAATGGGAGATTTGTCTGTGTCTGTGATGGTGATGATTGTGGTACGGGAGCGCTGCTGCTGGACTGCCGGGAGGATGCAGGGGTTGGCTGCTGCTGCTGTTGCTGTTGTTGCTGCGCATCTTGCTCTCGTTGCTTTTGTCGTTGCTGTTCCCGCACTTGTTGGGCATGTGCGGCAAACATGTTGAAGAAGGCTTGTTGTCGAGATGTTGTTGAGGGTGTTGTCGTGGACATATCGGGAAACACTGGGCCCTTGCTGAACAACGGCTGCTCCGGCGGAGGTGTTGCCGGAACGTGGGCTTGGTACGGATGCGGCATCGGTGCCGCCATCGATTAATATTCGAGTTGTGAGTATATGTGCAAATGTTTGTTGAATGTCTCCAAGCGATGTTTTGCTCGTTTGAGGTACTGGTTTCCCAGGTTGTTGGTGATATAGATAGATATATTGGGGTGGCTGAGGCGATGTTTGGTAATGATAGAGGTGGCTTATTAATACCAAGGGATGTCTCGTAGATCGTTGGCGGAATGTTATGGACAGCTGATCTTATAGAATAACCTTGCACCAGGAATACAAAAGAATTGACCAAGTTAAACAAACATAAATAGTCTTGGGTGAAGCCTTACGGAGGGTGGGGAAGGAAAGGAGGTCTGATTTATAAAGCAGGCTGACTGACTACACCTGATGGTTGGTAACAATCATGACTTAGACGTCCCTCGGGCCGCATCCTGGACCCTGGCGGCCACCTACGACGCGCATGCTGGGTTAAGTGGGTTCATGTTATTTTGAGGGCTCATCATATTTTTTTCCTTCCTTTTCCGGGATTTGAACTTGGAAAAAGGGGGGTGACAGGCGGGCGAGAGCAAGTCTGTTTGGCCATGATGTTGCTGGTGCAGATGGTGGAGTGAAGGCCCAGTCCTGAAAGAGGGAGAGGGAGTTCTAGCCGAGTGCCCAGGCCCGAGGGAGAGACTGCGTTATTGCTAGGATTGGGGGGCCTCTTTGGGACGCTATCACCGCTATGACTGCTACCAACGGAGCTAACTGGCACAAAAAAGAGCGCTCGCAAGGAGCCGAGAATAGGGTAGGAGATAAGGTGTGGTGGACGGGGGTCGCTAGGATTGGCGGGCGGAGCTGATGAAAATGGTCTGAGAAAGGGTTCGGCAAGGCTGGAAATGGTGGCAGAACTGGTACAACATGGGGTCAACATGGGCAAACATCGGTCGATGCCGATTACTTGCCGACCAGTAGCCACCGAGGCCCAACCATTCACAGCCAGGCCGAGGGGCACAATCGGGCCACACTTGAATCATGCCAGTCAGACGCGGGCATTGCAGTGGCAGCAGTGCATACCGGGCCTCATCCCGGCACCCCTCCCCGGCCTTTGGGTTTCTCCTTTACTCGGACTCCCATGGTGATGAGCATCAAATAACATTTCCACTCGATCCCTATCATTGGATTCATAATCTACGCTTGACTCCCGTCCGGTTCCCAGTTTCGGCTGACACGTTGTCTCGGTTCTCGTTGGCGTTGTTGGTCTGGCCGTTTACAACTCGTTATCTTTGCTGTTGGTAGGAGTCCGTCCGCACACATCATCGTCCTTTGGAACAGATCGCCGTTTGGTTGCAGCGTCTAGATCGTTGCGAGATCTGAGCGTCATCAACAACGCACCATCCAGTACTGGAACTGGAAACGAAAAACCACTGCAAGACACCTGGACTGTCTCTGGTGGTCAAGGCTGGTCTAGTCGGATCATGGATTCAGCCGTGACCGTCCTGCTGGTGTCAATGGCCGTAATCACCACTGGTAAGCGTAGTATGTAATCAAAGACGAGGCACGACATCCTTCCCGCAATTTCCTTTGTCACCCGTTCCAAGCCGTCGTTTCGTCCGTTGGTGTCCTGTCCTTATCATCATCATCATCATCATCAACAAAGGCGAAACAGATCATTGATCGGTAAAGCATGGCATCGCTTAATAACGCGAGACCTGAAGCACTCTGATCACCGCACTGGACGGGGCGCGGGTGGCCCAGAGTCTCGGACGTGTTCAGTACTAATGTAAGGTGCGCGCGGGTGTAGCCTGCGCGTTTGTCCAATCTCGCTGAATCCGTTTCGCTTCGTTGCGTCCTGTTACGGGTGTCTACCAGCGAAATGGCCGTTTGTGTCAGTGAGAACTGGACCCCGGATGAACAAGTGAACCGGAAAATGGTAATGCGAGACGTCTTGTGAAGGCCCTTCTTCCCGAGCACGAATCGGGTATGTAATTCCCTCCTCCTCCTCAGTTTGACGGTGGACCTTCTGATTGTGCTGGCAGATGGGCTGATGAGCTGTCGTTGAATGCCACATGGAAGGAATCGGTCTGGCAAAAAGTGGAATCTTCCCAGTCAGTCGGGTTATATCGTGACCAGGTCTTGCGGGAGCGGATTCCGGGAGAGGCAAAAAGCACAGAAAACAAACCGGGGAAGGGCAAATCATCATGACCCCAGAGCCCTCCCGTCCCGTGTTCGCGCATTCCCCATTTATTATCGCCGAGTGATTGTCTCGCGATGCCCGATATCAAAGCAACATTATCGGCATGCATTCCACTTGACTGGCAACACGCAACCAGGTTCCCCAGACCACGTCGCTCAAAATCGGTATAAGTCGCGACCAGATTGGAAAGAGACGATGTTGCGCTGCGAAGTCTCCATGTTCACTTCGCTGCTGCTAGCGTTGTTGACCGCGGGGTTGTCAGAGACCCGAGATCGGGTTGTCGGTGTTAGTCGTTCCCGTTGTTGCCTTTTTCGGCGGACTGTTTGTTAGTGCCTAGTGCCGGGATATCGTCCTCGTCCGTATCAGCCCCATACCCTGCAATCAGGAAGCTTCCAGGTCTTCTCCAGCAATCTCCGAATGGTTTTCAGGCACAGCCAAGGATTGTCCCAGCACAAGCATTATACCCAGCTTTTCTGCCTCTGCATGGATGTGTATGTACAAACTGGGAGAAGCGACAACCTTGGGTTGCGGGATGGGATGGGCGTTGGAGCCATGGCGCGCTGGCGTCGGGTCCGAGCGGGGTGAGGTGGACGGCAGAGGAGAAACAATTGTCCCCACTTTCCCTTTGCAGGGGGCTTTCAGTTTCCCAGTTGCCGCATTCCCGCACGACAGCAGGGCGCCCCACGGCCCACCCGCAAAATGCCTGCCAAGAATATAATCAACTGCCAGGTGTTGCAGAAGTCCATTTTCGGCCATTTGCACCTGATTGATGATGATTTCCATGCCATTTTTGTCATTTTTTGGTCACCATTTCCCCCCCTTCTACAACCGCCACGCCTCACGACATTGATCACGCTTCGTCACGTTGATCGCGGACCTTTACGGCAGGAACAGTGAAAAATATTCGGAACTGCGCGCCATTCTGTGCACATCTGCCATACTTGGTCGCATCAGTACCGCACGTTTCCTGTCATCGCATGTCAAGGCCCAACCAGGAACCGTCGAAAGGCAACAGGCCATAAACGCCGGATTTTGATGCTTCCCCCGCGCCCAAAACAGGTTCCGCGCCGCTGGATAGCGTCTCTCGGCCACAGCAGTTGTCGCCCATGCGTTGTCAATAACATTCGAACCGCTGCCGCCACTGTTGGACGTGGTCGTGGTGCTGTCGGTGTCGGTAGATATGTGACCACTCAGACCTCGCTCACTTCCGCCGGGTCTAGACCCTCCTCCAGCGTGCTATTTGTCGTCCCCGCCCGGCCCGTCATCGACATCACGCCGTGTTGTCCTCGACTGTTTCAGCTTCAGATTCGCGGTAAAAAGACCCGGACCGTTGTGCAGTTGAACGATCTGCCCCTTCCGCCCGTCGTTGAAACCGCCGTCAACGGCCCTCTTCTAGTGGTGGAGGAGTCAGTCCAGGAAGAAGGCACCTCGACGACTCGCCGCAAAAGGATCAAAAGGACGATTTTGCAGCTGGATCAGCTGCCCGTGTCTCAGACTACTCTAACCTCGGATCCGATCCTGGATGCTCAGAGAGATATAAAGCCAAACGAGGACATAGACTCTGGTAAGAGTAAACGGGGCAGGCGGAGGATTGTCAAGTTAGACGATTCATCCACTACGCCAGTTGCTATGCTCGACGAGGCTCTCCTGCCCGTAAAAGAAGCAACAGAAGAGGCAGCCGAGGTAGAGCAGAATGAGCCATCAACACAGCGTAAAAGAGACAAGACGAGGACCGTCAGGTTGAAGGAGATCCCTCAGGGCGCCCTCCTTCCCGACGAGTCTTTCCCGCCACCGCAGCAGGAAGACCAAGAACCAGCTTACCCATCAGTAATCCAACAGCATCGCCACAATATGCAAAAGTTTGACAACTGCGTGTTGCTAACGCGCGTAGGGAGCTTCTACGAGATGTACTTTGAGCATGCGGAGGAGGTCGGCCCGCTTCTGAACCTCAAAGTCTCACAAAAGAAAACGAGCGGCGGTCCTGTCTCAATGGTAAATCCTCTCCGTCTGTCGTTGTGTTCATGTGTGTCTACTATGTCTTTGCTCCCAAGTCAGCTCCAAGTTACTCCCCCTATTTGCACTTTGTTCTGATCATGAACCTTCTTTTAGGCTGGGTTTCCTTTCTTCCAACTTGACCGTTACCTTAAAGTCTTAGTCGAAGACCTGAATCGCCATGTAGCCATAGCGGAGGAGTACAGAAATTCCCCTTCAGAGCAGATCAAATCGGGTGGTTTGATGCACAATCGCAGAGTGACTCGCATCGTCACCCCGGGCACTCTGATCGACGAGAACTTCATGGACCCGTACGCCAACAACTACATTATGGCCATACATCTGCCTTCCAATTCGTTGGAAGGAAGCTCGAGTTTTCAAGAAGCCTTGAACTCTGAAACAGAGCAAAAGAAGGAGTCCCTTGTAGGTTTAGCATGGCTAGACTTATCCACGGGCAACTTCTACACCCAGCAGACGAGTCTTATATCCTTGGGCAGTGTTCTCTTGCGGGTATCTCCGCGAGAAATAGTCCTCGACAAGTCCCTTGAGTCTGCCGAAGGTCACGATATCTTGTCCGTCCTGAACGAGGAGAGATATCCCGTTACCTACTCACCCCAAGGCGAGAATATACAAACCCTCAAGGACTGGGCGCCGATGCTGGACGCAAAAATACCTACAGAAACAGTAATCAGGTTCACGGACGATGAGATCAAGGCAGGCAACGTCTTGCTTCACTATGTTACAGACCGACTTCAAGGCTTGAGCATGAAACTTCAGCCGCCAATACGCCACGACAACATGCAAATTATGACTATCGACAAAAACAGCATGCGATCTCTGGAGATCAAGAAAACCATGAGGGAAGGCTTCTTCGCGGGAAGCTTGTTACATGCCATCAGAAGGACAGTGACCAAGAGTGGTGCAAGACTGCTTAATGAGTGGCTCAGTAAGCTATCCCTTTTACCGCTTTGTGCCTATGTCGATAGATAAAATCACTGACCGATTTAGGCGCCCCTTCAACGTCCCTTTCGGTGATAAACTCCCGTCTCGATCTCATAACCCGCTTCATCTCGAACCCAGATCTCAGCGACGCCATCACGGTCCTCCTCCATCGATCCCACGACACTCAACGTCTCGTCCAAAAATTCGCTCTCAACCGCGGTGACGCCGACGATCTCCTCCGGCTCGCCAGCACCATCAAGGCCACCGAGGACATCGTCAACCACCTAAAGTCCACCATTTCCTCCGAAGATAATAACCCAGAAGAAGATGATTGCCTAACCAAGCTGATCGAACGTATAAGCCTCGAGCAACCCCTTAAGCTCGCCAAGCGGATCTGGGACGCCATCGACGAGGAAGGGCTCGTCCAGCAACACCAGCTCGAAGATAGCGAGACGGGCGAGATGCTTGCTCTCGCACAGGAGATCGTCAAGGACGAAGGGACAGAGGAGGATGGGCGGGCGCTTTTGCCCAAGGGAGCTACGGCTAAGAGTAATAGGGCTAGGGCGGAGCTGACCCAAAACCGAAATCAACAGGAAAAGGATCTGTCAAAAGACAACAGGAAAATAAGTCTGCGAAATTACTACGGCGAAGACAACCAGGTCTGGATCATGAAGCCCAAAGCCAACAGGGCCCTGGCTAAGCTCCACGCGGAACTCAGATCGCTGCAGGAACAAAAGGAGAAGCTCACCGAGGAGTTCCGCGCAAAGTATGCGGCGCCATCGCTTACGCTGAATTGGAAAACCGGATTGGGCCATGTTTGTGTCGTTCGAGGGAGGGATGCTCGATTGGCGGTGGGAGAAACGAGTCGTCGCACCAGAACATCCAGCAGCAGCAGCAACAGCATGTCCGACCCCATCTCTGACACCACCGACGCCGATGCTGCGGACGCCGATACCGAACCCATCCCCGAACCCGTCCCAGAACCCGAATCTCTCTCCACCCTCCGCACGCTCTCTACCACCCGGACCACCCGCACCTTCCACCACCCTCTCTGGACGTCCCTCGGCGAATCCCTCGACCACGTCCGGCTCCGCATTCGCTCCGAAGAGACGGCTCTCTTCTCCTCTCTCCGCTCCAACGTGGTAACCTTGCTCATAAAACTCCGTCGCAATGCGCTCGTCCTCGACGAGCTCGACATCGCCACCTCGCTGTCCCGGCTGGCGACGGAGCAGAATCTCGTTCGGCCCATTCTGCACGATTCCTCCACTACCAACGGTTCTCAAGGGATGGGCACGAGGACGGTCATAGTAGGCGGTCGCCACCCCACCGTCGAACCCTCCCTCCTCTCCCGAGGCATGACCTTTCAGAAAAACGACTGCTTAATCGGCTCCCCCGGACAAGGTGCGATCTGGCTGATTACCGGACCGAACATGGCTGGTAAGAGCACGTTTCTGCGACAGAACGCGCTGATTACCATCCTGGCGCAGATGGGGTGTTATGTCCCTGCCGATTACGCGGAGCTGGGTATTGTTGATGCCATCTTCAGCAGGGTCGGGTCGGCGGATAACTTGTATGCGGACCAGAGCACTTTCATGGTGGAGATGATGGAGACGGCGGCGATATTGCGGCAGGCGACGCCGAGGAGCTTTGTGATAATGGATGAGATTGGCAGGGGGACGACACCGGAGGATGGCACAGCTGTGGCGTTTGCGAGCCTGCATCATCTGTTGACGGTGAATAAGTGTAGGGGGTTATTTGCGACGCATTTCCATGCGGTTGGGGATATGCTGAAGGAGCAGGGGTTGGTGGTTGAGGATGGTGCGAGCAGTGCGACTGCAAATTGGGGTGTGGTTATGTATTGCACGGATGTGGAAGAGGACGAGAGCGGTGGATTTGTCTATGTGCACAAGTTGCGCAAAGGCATGAACAGGCAGAGTCATGCCCTGAAAGTGGCTCGCCTGGCTGGGCTGCCAGAGCCGGCCATTAAGATCGCTCAGCAAGTATTGGCGGTTCAGGGAGTTGTAGCTTAGGAGTCACGGTAAAAAAGGAGTTCATTAAAGTCACTGTTGGGAATTATGGCACGAGAATCTGGTTGGTTGTTCAAGGATTTTATTGGAAGGGTATCTGAGAGAATCTGGATGTATCTGGAAAAGTAGAGTTAGCCTCTGTATACCCCATGTGTATGATAGATGTAGAGCTGAACAAAAATCGGGGGTGTTTGGGAGTGTCTCATAAAGTAGTTGTTTGTGATGGGTTTTCATCAATGATAATCAGGGTTAAAAAGCTCTTTGGTTTTTGTCTAATCATCGACACTCCAAAGGGGAAAGCAGGAAGGATGGTGGAAATAAGTGAAAACTAACCTGATGGGTTTGAGAAAACAAGCAGGACATTTTCACATGTATCCGCACAGTTTCATCAAGATTGCAAACAGACTCATCAGAAGGAGACCACCAAGTTGATGTGCTTAATTGAGCAGCAAGTAATCTATGTAGCTGAGGGCCAAGATCATTCGTCTCTTTACCCAACCTAAACCAACTTTGCCACGCCTCAAACACTTCAATCAAGAAGTCAGAGAGACATTTAGTCGCTAGAGAACCAGTTAGCTTTAACGTCGAATACCCAGGGGCACTGTCAGGGAATACGCACAAGAGACCGCCGAAGCCGCCATCATCCTCATCAGACTCCTCCTTCTCCTCCTCCTTCTCCTCGGCCTTGCCAGCGGCAGGGGCAGCCTCGGTGGAAGCGGCGGGAGCGGCGGAAGCATAAGCCTCGGGGTTGGCAATGCGATCCTTGAGCTCCTCGATCTCGGGCCAGCTGATCTCGGTCTCGATAGCGACGGCAAGAACCTTCTTGTAGGCGTTGACGACGGAGTGGATGACGGAGGGAAGAGTGGGGAAGTTGAGAGCGAGCGAGAGGCTGGCAATGGTGGTGATGGCAGTGGAGAAAGCCTTGAGGAGCTGCTCCTCAGAGATGTCAAGGACATCGGAGGGGAAGGTGTTGCCCTGGTCGTAGACCTGAGCGATGCCCATACCGTAGGTGAAGGGAGAGATGTTGAGCATGTTCAACAGGGTAGCCTCAGAGGGGCCGACCTTGGCGCCAGCCTCAACGAGCTTGAGATCGGTGGTGATTTCAATGGTACCACGGGCGATCTTGGTGGGGACACCGAGGGCCTGGAAGAAAGAGGTCTTGCCGGGTTCCATACCGGTGTTGCCAGCGGGGACCCAGACATCGGCAGGGGCGATAGCACCGGCACGAGCGGGGGCAGCGACCTTGTTGGCGAGGATCTTGTCACGGACCTCCTTGAGGTCGCCGTTGGTGAAGACGAAACCAACGTTGCCCTTGACGAAGGGGAGGAGACGCTCGTACTCGGGGGTGTCGACGACGAAGGTCTTGAGGGCACGGCGAACCTGTAATGGGTGTTAATTTCTGGGCTTCCCGAAGCGCGACGCTCTTGCGACAACGGGCGACGTACCATGGTGTTCTTGCCCATCAAGACGACAGCCTCACCGCGGAGGGACTGTCTGATCTCGTGCATCTGCTGAGAGCTGACATTGTCGACGGAGACGATGAAGATGGACCGGTAATCCTCCAACAAGCCCTTCAGCTTGTCGAAGTAACCGGCCTTGTTAGCAGACTTGCCCCCCATATCTTCTTTTAGCACGAAGGCAGGATGTTTAAGGGCAAGAGGAGTTCTCTTGATTGATTTGGTGGTGAAGTTGGAGTTGGTATGGTGACCTGAGGAGAGATTCTGGAAGCCGGACAAAATTTCGGGCGCGCGCAATTGACTTGGTTGATCCGTCTGTGGGAAGCGAGGGGTGAGTGTGGCCCGTGCTGCCGTCGGGGTGCTAGGGCTTGAGTGGGGTTGACCAATCAGACGGTCAGAAACAAGCACTTCGACTGGAGTGAGGTCTTGGCAGGTACCCCAGTACAAAATCGTCAAAATAATAGCGGCATCAGTTGAGCCTCACGGCACTGCAAACGACGCTGCAGTGTATGGCTCGCCTGCTGTACAGCCACATGTGGCTCAGTACCCAAGTCTGTTCGAGACTTTCTTCGAAGTTCACTCTCACTCATCAAGCATTGCAGTGACTACTAGTACCAAACCCGGAGTGAGGCTGCATCACAACTCCGAATATCAAGTTTGTAGACACCTTCCTCATGTAGCAATTGTCGTATACTAACGCACTCACAGAATCACACTCGAAGATCAAAGACGCAAGTGCACTCGATCTCACTTTGCTTGTCCTCAGCATTGAATTTCATATCTACCACCAACAGCCTCTAACGCCTACATCATCAAAATGGCTTTGCCATACCACGTCCTCAAAGTGTGCTACGGCATTGTTTTTGCCGCTCGCGGAAGTAACATTCACTCATTTGACTCCAACTTCAACCCCATCTCAGTATGGAAGTACCCCGTCAAGCAGCAAGAGACCAACGGAGAGAAGGCCGAGAGCGAGACCCCAGCTCCTATTGTAGAAGCCGAAGAATTACCCGCTCCAGAAGGCCCCCCTGCTAAGAAGAGGAAAGTGGAGGATGGCGAGGTGGTAGCTGTCTCGGAAGAGAGCAAGGAGGAATCCAAGGAGGACACCACTGAAGGTCAAACTGAGACCAAGACTGAAAGCCAGACCCAAGAAGTGAACAGACGCAGCAGGCGGCAAAAGCAGAAGCAAAAGACCGAGGGCGGATGGGCGAAGAACAACAAGGCTGTCCTCGAGAAGCCCTTCGTCCAGGGCATGTACCTCACCACCGACGGCCGTCATCTCGTTGCCATTACCGGGTCCGACAAGACCATCTGGGTGTTTGAGCACGATGGTGCCGGAAACCTCAAGCAGCTGAGCCAAAGAGCCATGCCCAAGCGCCCTTGCGCCCTCGCCCTTACGCCCGACGATAAGACCATTCTCTCCGCCGACAAATTCGGCGACGTCTTCTCCCTCCCTCTTCTCTTTACGCCTTCCGAGCCAACGGCTGCAGCTGCAGCTTCCACCATTGCTTCCGAGGTCGCTACCCCCGAACCCACTCCCTCCGCCCCGGCCACTCCCGCTATCCCTACTCCGCCCACCACCGACGTCGCCAAGGCCCAATCCCTTTCTGTCAAGCCGCAAGCCAACGAGCTCACCGTGCACACGCTCCGTAACCTCAAGGCACTGGAGAACCAGAAGCGCTGCCTGGAGCGCCAGAAGGCGGCCAAGCTCGCCGCCGCCCTGCAGGCCTCGCAATTCGAGCACACGCTCCAGCTGGGTCACGTCTCCATGCTCACCTCGGTGGCCGTGGCCGTGCACCCCAGCCACCCCGGCCGGACGTACATCATCACGGCCGACAGGGACGAGCACATCCGCGTGAGCCGGGGCATCCCGCAGGCGCACGTAATCGAGGGCTTTTTGTTGGGCCACGACGAGTTTGTGAGTCGAGTGTGCATTCCCGAGGCGCGCAGGGATGTGTTGATCAGCGGCGGTGGTGATGACGATCTGTTTTTGTGGGATTGGGTCAGCGCTAAGCTGCTGGGTAAGGCGCCGGTGTTGGCGGAGGTGAAGAAGGCGCTCCCGAGCGCTGAGGATGCGGACAAGGTCACCAAAATTGCGGTGACGAGGATTTTCGATGTTCAGCAGGGTGAAAAGACGCAGATCTTTGTGATTTGTGAACGGTACGTCAAATTACTTATCCCTTTTTCCAATATTGGGCCATGTGCATCGGCGGCTGACGGAAATGACAGCATCCCCCTTCTTCTGATTTATACCCTCACCTCCGCCAACACCCTCCAACACACGCAAACCCTCTCGCTCCTCGGCAACCCGCTAGATGTCGAGTATCTCAAGGCCGAGTCTAAGCTCCTCGTGTCCATTGATCCCAATACCTCGTCCGAAACCCAGGAGGAAGAAGCCAGTAACGGCGGTGTTTCTTCTATCCTCGCTCTGTCATTCGATGATTCCGAGTCGAGCTGGAAGGTGACTCCCGGTGGTCTGAAGGCCACGGAAGCGGCTGAGGAAGAAAGCATCAGTTTGAGTCCCCAAGACTTGCAGAAGCTTTTGTATACCACAGAGAGCTTGAGGAAGACGAATAAAGATGACGAGTAAGTTTGGAAGAAATCACCGGATAGATAAAATTGACTAGAGTATACTTTAAGCCTACTCCGTATGCGCTAGATTCCTCTCGCTTTGATCGCCCATTGGCATCTCTCTGCCTAACCCGATATACGTTTGATTTCGCACCTACTCGCTTTAGTCAAAGACCATCAGCGCCCCCCCTCCTCTTCTTTCGCTCAGCTCGTCTCACCTACCACCAACTTGCCAATGGTGATGATGTGCCGTATGACCAGGCCTCAAGGTATTCGGCCTAATTGGTTCCCAATTGTTCATCCACGGCAACTGTCCTCCTCCACCCATATCCCCCAGTCCTCCTGCCGTACCAGGCTGTCTTCCCGCGCCGCCTGCTCCCGCGGCAGCCCATGGTCTCTCCATGCTAGGCAATGACCTGCCCCCCGCGTCCATCCTGCCCATTCCCATTCCCATACCGCTCATATAACCACCCATCCCAGGTGGCCCTTGAAGCCCGAAACTCTGGTACTGAGTCTGGTAGAAATCCTCCTCCCTCCTTGCCGCCATCTCCACCAACACGGCCGTCACGATCTCCGGATTCTGATGCAACCAGTCCCCGCTCTCCTCGTCCACTTCCTTTCCAGTCGTCATACCCTCCTCATCGCTATGCCCGCTCCTGCGTCTCTTTCCATTTTCATTGATCCTTTCCCCGTTCCCATCATCCCCGTCTCTGTTTCCACTTCCATATACATACCCACTGCTCCTGCTTCTCCAGGGCTGCAGAAACCCCACCCTAGCAAACACCATTTTAAGTAGAGGATCGCTCGCCGGCAGGCCCTCCCACAGCCGCTTGCACAAGAACAGCACCTGCGGCACCGCCGCGTCGGTCCCAGCGCTCTCGAGCATGTCGATTGCGTACCGCGCGATCTCGGCCTTGAAGTCATTCAGCAGAAACTTGTTGGCGAGGATGTAGACAAAGAGGGTGTGTTCGTAGCAGAGAAGCCAGGTGCGCAGGTCAGCGGGGGTGGAGAGGCGGGTGTTGCCTTCTGTCAGGGAGGGGGTGGAGTTGGTTGAGGATAATGGGGGCTGGAAGTTGGAAGAGGAAGATGAGGGGGCTTGAGCGGGTGGCGCAGGGGGTAGGGTTTGACTGGTGGCAGGAGGAACAAGTGGTGGCGGTGGAGGTGGAGGTGGAGGTGGTGCTGCGAGTCTTGCGCGACCACCCGGACGTCTCCTATTGGCACCTGCTCCTGGCCCATCACCCTGCAGAAGTCGTTCGGGGTAGGGCCTATGGCGATATTCGGGGCCGGGAGGGTGAGGGAACGGTGGTCTTGTTCCGGTTGGGGTGTATGGAGTCCCGATACCGGGCGGTGGTAGAGGTGATCGCGGTGCAAAGCAAGACCAGCAAGGGGGACCGGGTTCGACGACACAGCGGGGACAGCCGCAGTTAGGCCGGTGACGGCCGGGATGTTTTCCGTTCGTGCGATCCCATTCCCGCTGTCTTTCCCTTTGCTGGCGCCGGTGTAGAGCCGCAGCAGCGCTCAGGTCGGTGTCTAGCTCGGAGTCGTCTGAGTTGTTGTTATTCTCTGAGTCTATTCCACCAGCGCCGCCGCCGTTGGTTTCCATGGCATCTTTGCCTTTTCCCTTTTGTTTGTCGGGGACAAGGACTGATGCAGCGGGCTTGATAGGTTCGAATCTCCCTTCATATAAAAAGGCGATCAGGTAATGAAAAATTGCAGGGTCTTCTTCGGGTAGCTCGATGGACTGGGTCTCTGACTCTCTGAAGTTGCCGCAGAGTGCTTTCTCAAAGTATTCGACCTTTAGGAGGATATGCTTATGGACCTGAGTTCAGGCGGTAAGGCGGTAAGTCAATTATCCTGATGAAAAATAAAATAAAGTAAAATAAGAAGTAAAACAAGGTTGAGGAAAGATGGTTTGACACACGTAGAATATTTGCGCCTGAGGCGCCTCTCCCACCCGAAGTGGGATAATCGTTGAATTATAACGTCTATGTGTTTGTTTTTTCATGTTAGTCATATTCTCATCGCTTGAATTCACAAATTTTGACTCTCCAAAGACAACCTTCTCAATACCAGAAAGATGACCTGCTCGCAGAATATTGCGCTGGTCGTTACAACACCTATATGCGATTTCCTAAACGATCGATGAAAAAGCTCTCGACTCACCCATCAGCAGTACTCAACCAAAGATCTTCCTTCGGACCCATTGCCGCCTCCCTGTTTCTGCCACTCGTTTCCTCCGACATCGCTTCCAAAACCATGACATTGGGCGCGCGCGATCCCGGTTCCCTCATCACATCGCCCAGTGTCTGTGGCCTTCTCATCGTGTATTGCTGGCTTTGATCCTCATTCTCCACGATACTTGCGCTTGAGTCTTCGTTTCTGTTGCCATTACCGCTGCTGTTGTCATTACCATTGCTTCCTTCGCCATATTCGTTGAGGATCTCTTCTATCTCTCTCCTGATATTGCTGCTCCTCTCGCCGTTGGTCGTATCATTGGCTCTCATCGAACTAGAACTCGATGAGCTGGGCGCCGCGGTTGCAAAGACGCCACCAGAGTCTGGAGAGTTGTGTTGATTCATGTGTGAGATGAAGATGAGATCGAGGTTTTGCTCTAGTTGTGGTTGAAGAGGTGGACAGGCTGGTATCTCTTTTTCCGTCGGTGTCACTTGTTGTATAAATAGAGGTTAGCTGACAGAACGAAGCTAAGAACGGAAGAGAGGAGGGGCAACGGGAAGTGGGAGAGCTGTGACGCGCAATGAGAGCAAAAAGGGACTGGGATACTTAGGATGGAACGCCACAGCCGCGACTAGACTAGATCGTATGTATGTGACTGAGATGAGCTTACACAAACTAACAAGAAAAACAAGGCACCTTGGTTTTGTTCATGTAAAATCCCGTATCAAGGCAAACACACACGCGGAGCAAGTAGGCAGTGTAGGCACCCAACTAGGTAGAAACCGCTCAGCCCGGTCTCCGGTTCATTCGGTGCCCGCAAAGCTGTGTTGTGCGTGTAAGTTGCGTGTGCTGTGATGGTCAGTGGTCTATATGCGACAAGCGGCCACCCACGGGCATGTTGTGTAGTACAAGCATTCTTCGAGATTGGTGGTCAACTTCCGTGACAATACCCAATGAGGGAAGTGAGTTGCAGTATTGTGAGTGTGCTCAAGACTAAAAGGATGGTTTGATTTGCCGGGCTGAGGATGTGGTGTAAAGGGAAGGAAGCTTGAGAAGATCAATCGGGAAATCTTGGAATAACGACTTATACTGATACACAGACCCCTCGCGCCAACCCGTTACACTTCTCCGGCTTAACTTGTGGTCCGATAAACTCATTGAGTTTCCGTAGTAGTGTATGCAGGTGCATCATTCGTCGCCGAGAACAAACCCCTTGTAATCCGATGCCTACATGTGGTATTTAATCCAAAGATTAGTATAGTCCCAGTCTTTCTCAGGCTACCACAAACACGCCACAAATGTTCGGGACAAAGAGGCCGTCCGTCCCATCATCGACCGCGGGGTCTCGAGGTCTCGAGGTCTCACCGGTAACACAGATTCTTACACTTCTCCCCGCTTGCCTGACAATGGTGCACATCATTTTACATCAAGTGACTGTGGTTTCATGGGTTGACCCCAGGATTAGGTAGACGGTGGGTTACGGTGTCGCTGACTAGGGTGTATTTCGGTCAAGATGCCTGCCTATCTGGTGATGTTGGACAAAAGTCATAGTCCCTGGCCGGTTTCCGCACACTACGACTCTACCTAGGTAACCTAGATATGTGGCGTACTGCATGCAAATTCTGCACTTCTCTTTCCTTCATGTTCCTTCGTTCCTTCCTTCTTTCTTCTCCCGTGATCCGGTGGAACGTGAAACAGTCAGTGGCTGGCCAACAAGACCTAAGAGTACCTAGGCAGGAACCGCCGGCACCAAGCATTCGTTGTGTTGTGGGGGGTAGATGCCCGCCTATGTGCAGTTATTGTTGCGCATTGGGCCATGACTCACCACCAGGAACCTACCTGATGCCTATGATAGCCCTTTACCTTCCTTGAGTTGTTTTTGACCTATCTTACCTTTACGTATGTTGTAGGGTACATGGCTACATCCATCCCGAATACCCTCACACACCAATTCTCTGACAATCTGAAGTAGTGAAAGAAGGCTGCAATGAGCAACTAAAGCAGAGATCATCACTTGTCCTCGGGCTGAGAACGGCCATGGGAACTCGTTCGGTCTTACTTTCTGGGGTTCCTGCCCGTGCTGACGGCCCAATGAAGTTCCAACAAATTTACAAGAAGGGACAGGTAGCACATGCTGTGCAGGTCGAGAAAGAGATGAGAGAGATGCAAGATTACATGTTCATCGACATGACACGGCGCATCTTCGTTCTCTTGCATGAAGCAGAACAAAGAAGATGTGATGGACAATAGAGACAGACGGAGGTGATACAAGACAAGGTCCTTTGTACCTCTAACCCTGGTGATACACGGGCTAGGTCGAGGGAAAAAACATCAAGTCTCCAGCGAGGAGAGAATGGTAGCTGTCGTACCACTTCAAAGGAAACACCAAACCCAGAGTGAGACCACACCCACACACGCCACAAATTATTGATCATGGCTATGGGTGTAACACGGACGGATAAGAAAACTGAATGAGTTCTGGAAGATCTGTTGATCGGCTTGGATTGCGACCATACATTTTTACACACTGCCCATGCTTTGAGCAGGCATATTTCTGTCTCTGAATCCAGGATGACTCGTAGACTACTGTTTCGAGCTGTTGAATGTTGTTACACATCCGAACATGGATCTTGATCTGAGGAACCAGATGACCCTTGGTGAATATGGCTAAAGGTATATCACAAAACAAGGCCGAATGCTTCATCCAGCGTCTATCGTCCGTTGGGGCTTCACAGCTTGAGGAAACTAGGACCCCTATTCCTCTTCCATCAATTCCTGTTGCATCTCGATTTCTATCACATACTCCGTTAGCTCCCATAGAAGTGCAAGTTAAGAGTATCAAATACTCACGCCATATTCTGTTTGCAGAATCCGTGATAATCTTCGCCTTAGCGAGCAGTTTATCCAGGTATTTCTGCTCATCTTTGACCTCCAGCCGGACCTTGTTCGGTTGCGCTTGCATCAACACGGGCACGAGTTCCTTAGGATCCGCATTCGCGATGACGGCCACCGTCTTGAAGCCATTGTCCCAGAACACCCGTGCTGTCCGGCTCTTGACAAACGTGATCTTGGACAGACTGAGCAGATCAGCCCTGGCTCCGGCCTTGAGCCGGTCGGCGAAGTGGTCCAACGCTGCCGCCATGGCGCCCCATCCCATGGCTTCGCAGAACTTGATCATGCCAGCGGCGAACCCCTGACAGGTTTGGGCGAGCGTCTGAACGGTACCTCGGGGCACATCATACTTCTGCGCGACGCGGTGGATGGGAACTTCGTTGCAGAGATCGCGGAGCTGGAGGGCAAGGTAGAAGCGATAGTAGCGACGGGCGGTGTCCTTTTCTTCGTCGGTGGTTTCCTTGAGGATGCCGCCGTGTAGCCTGTTTTGCAGTTGCAGTTAGCGTTGGGCCATGTCCCACGATAAAACATCGTCAACACTCACATCCTGTTTAACACCACAGGCTTTAACCCCAGAAAGCTCATCACCCTCAACCCACTCTCATCCAGCTTCTCCATCTCGTTCCAGAACACCTTCCAGTTGATCGACGTCCCATTCCCCAGACCCGAAACCGGCGTGAAGTTATACAGAACATGCATCTCCCCATCCATCACAAACCCCTTCAGCGCCCTCTCCAACTCCTTGTGAATAAACACTCCGTCTTCCGGATCCAGCGAGCTAGCCACGATCGCCCCTCCCAGCTTCGTAGTGCTATAGCTCGCCGTCTCGAACCTCTCATCTACCGTTACCGTGATGAACCCCATCTCCTTCAACTTCTCCAACCCAATCTCTATATAGCCCCTTATCTGATCCTCCCACTCCTCCGTCTCCTTCTCCGCTAACCGCTGCTCGCAAGCCAGCATCGTCCTCCCCACGTACTCGTCCAATGCCTCCCTGCTCGTCGCCAGCTTAATCGCAATCACCTCCAACAGCGCCCTCCGTATGCGGCGCTCGTCCGAGACCAGACAGCTCGCGATCTGCGGCAGATCCGCGTGCATCAGGTCTACCACGGCCTCCAGGTCGTTTCTTCGACAGCAGAGATACGTCTCGCCCACTTCGTCCTTACCCTTCCTCCCGGCTCGACCGCGCATCTGCCGCAACATGGCCGGGCCAACGAGGTCGATACCCATGCGCGCGCCGTGCAAAATCACCCGCCTCGCGGGTAGGTTGATGCCCGCGGCCAGCGAGGCGGTGGCCACACAGACTTTCAGGGTACCGGCGTCGTAGGCGTTGGCGATCAGCTCGCGCTCTTCAGTGGTCAGTCCGGCGTGGTGGAAGGCCACGCCGCAGGGGATGGTCTGCTCGAGTTTGCAGTCGAGACCCGTGGAGGAGCTACGGAGATCGTTGAGCAGGTCGAGGCGGCGTTCCCGAATAAGAGGGTCGGCTTCTTGGAAGGAGGGCAAGACGCGGCTGATCAGGACGGCGTCGGATTCGCAGCCGGCGCGACTGCTGGAGAAGACAAGAACGCCGTAGCCGGCGCGGGCAGTCTCGTTGGCTAGGGCGACGACGGCGTTCAAGACTGGGTCTTTGAACTCGCGGTGCAGGGAGGGGTGGATGAAACGGATGTGCTGGAGGGAGGAGGTAGTGGAGGGAGGTGGCCCTTGAGTAGTGGTAGTGGTGGTGGCATTTCTGGTGTCTAGTTGAGTGGCTGTTTTCAAAAGACTGGCGGTTGTGGTTGCTGGGTATATCTTGCCGTCGTAGACAAGGTGTTCCTCGATAGGGACAGGTCGATAGTGTGTCTCGTACGAGTGGCCCCCTAGCCAATCTTTCAGGAGACGGATGTTCTACACGTACAGTCAGCAGGTTCAGACTTCATGAGAGAAACCAGTCAAAGGTATGCTTACTGTCAACGTGGCACTCATTGCAATAATCTGTACCTGCTGGTCCAGGCATAAGAGTTTCGTAGTCATCAGTTCTAGCAAATATCCCCTGTAGCCATCGTCAATCATGTGGCACTCATCCAGCACCACGGCTCTGAGTTTGGATATTGAGCAATCTGTTATAGCCGCATTGATGAGGGAGTTCGCCTACGCATCGTAACCGTTAGAATTTCATTCGCGGAAGCATAGCGTCGCAGTCATTGGAGTCAGTCTACTCCTGCACACCCACCCACCTTCTCCATTGTGCAAACCGCAACATCGAAATCCGCCCACGTAGCCCTCATCTTGCTTCCACCAAAGAATCCCACCACCCTGATGGTATCCTTATCCGGCCTCCTTGCCCACAGCTGCTGTTTCCCTTCCAGATGAGGCTGCTTCTGCCCCAAATCCCCACTCCTCGAGATCCCACTAACGACATTCCTCAACCAACGGACCTTCTCCTGCACTAGCGCAACATACGGCAGCACCAGTATGGCCTTGGCCTCGCCGGCCGGGTCGTCCAGTACCCTCTTGAGCATGAGCAGGTCGGCAACCAGCGACTTGCCGCCGCCCGTCGGGGCGCTGTACACCAGGTTCTTGTCGCCGGAGAGCAGGCCGGGGCCGAGCAGGCATTGTTTCTGCCACGGGTAGATGGTTTTGATTCCTAGGGAGGCAAAGTTGGCTACGAGCTGCTTTGGAAGCTTGTATGCGGGATGCGACAGGGAGAGCAAGGGGTCACTGGTGGAAGTGGGCGTTGAGGGTAGGGCTCGACGCTGCGAGTACTCGGAAGGGATGCCGCCCTTGGCGGCGGTGGCAACTGGGTCTGCGTAGTCTATGGTGCTTGCTGTGAGGGGAGGAGGGCCGGAGGATGCTTTCATAAAGGCTGATGGTGTGAAGCCTGGGGTTGGTGTATTGGATGGCCCCGGTGTAGGCCGCTTGACTGTTGGAGGCCCATTGTATAATTGAGGCCGGACGTCGTTTATGGAGCGCTTTTGCCCAATGACCACATTGGTCGTCGTCGTCAGTACGGGCCGTTGTTGGAAAGGTTGATTCTGTTGCCTTTGCAGTTCTTGCTGCTCCCTCGCTTCCTGTAGAGTTGTCTTATGCCATATGCCGACTGGACTTGGTTTGTTTGGTTGCCAATTATGCGACATAACCGGATGGCGACTGTGATGAAGCTAGAGGAGAAAGCAAATAAAATCGGTCAAATGTGGATCGTTATGCTCCATGCAAAAAAAGCGAGTGGTGAGGTTTGTGATGTGATCGCGAAAGTCGATGAACACAATGATTGCAATTCGGTCAGATGACAAACCGGGCGACACAGGAAGTGAAGGGACGATGGAGCTGTTACTGCGATGCGATCAAAATGTGCGATCGGGCGGTACTGGAATGGACAGAGGATTGCATTTAACATCTAAAGAAAAAAACGAAAACAAAAATAGGTGTTCTAACAGATGGTCAGCCAGAAGCAGACAAGGGCTCATTGTTGCCTATTTCCTCTCCGTCATTTGCAACATGAAGATTGCTGAACGCGTTTTGCCCCTCGAGATATCGTGTTGGAAGCAGGCCAGTCGTTGTCAAATGCTGTGGTGGGCAGCAAGGTGCATAAACAATTATGGAGAATATCATATTCACTTATGCTCGGACAAGCTCGGCCTTTGTCGGTAGAGTTGACAACTACAAACACACCTACAAAGGGGAGTTCAAGATCTCTTTAACTAGATTCTTCTATCCCGAGTTAATGTACATCAAACACCGATCTTGTGACAGCGACTCGGTTGTTGTGATCTTGCCAGATGGATGCTGATTGCCTCTTTCCTCTCAACTCACTGTCTCGCGATCCTTCGTTCGAACGCGCACATGGCAACGTCGACTGCCCGGGAGGTGGTACATCAGCCACTGAGGCATGCACCACTCCTTAATAGCAGTTTTGAATACAACAATGTTTATTTCAGACAAACCAACGATCTGCCAGGGTATTTCGGCCTTTTTCAATCACAAAAACGGTTAACGGTCATGACTTTGAGTTAAGTTTATTCAAGCATTCAACAACCACATTCCGTTGTACGGTGGAAGCCACATCACAAGCCACAGAGTTCCGCCTTCCGTCAGGCACGATCCTCACGTAGTGGTTTTTGGCCCTACAGGTAGCCAGTGTCGTCCGGTTGCCGGCCGCACTGAGTGCTTGAAGCATCATGCAGGGAAGGTGTGACCCGTTAGATACCAAGCCGCCGCCGAGTCCGCTTGCAAAATTCGCCTGCCCGCGTTCTGGATTATAAATCGTCGCCAGCAAAGGAGCGAGAGGATGAAAAATTCGTGTGGCTATTGCTTGCACGCATCTGCTAAATCCAAGCGTGCTTTTAATACCTTATGATGTTGGGCGAAACAATGTCGTGTTTTCAATTCTTCGATTACCAATAACCTCATGGCAAAAATGTTAAGGAATTTGGGGGACTGGGAAAGATGCAGCACGGAGCAGAGCATGTAGAGGTAAGTAACTGACTGAACGAGCACTGACAGAACTGAACGCAATTGAGGCTCGCTCGGCTCGGGAGGCACACTTTTGGGGTCTTGACCTACAGTCTGATACCGCCTTCATTGTTAGCTCAAGACCTGGGATTAACTTCCCTAGGCGTTGTCATGCTGTGAATATGCTATTCCGAATTGAAATACACTGTATTAGATCTTGTTGATTCTTATTGGATCTATATTCAGCCATTGATTTAGTCCTTGAAACGTTTGGACTATCTTAGAAAAAAAACTCGTTCAGTATACACTACTAGGAGTGAGCAAGGTACCTAGGTACACTAAAAACCAACCAGCACTACACTAGATTGTATATCCCAGACAAGATCTCGCCGTCAACCTCGATCGTCGTTCGTGGTCGTTCGCTCCTGACTCCAGGGCAGTTTGTCGGTGGTCCAAAAGGTTCAATCAGTGTGGACCAATCGGCATGGATGATAGGATCCGTAATGTCCAATTCGGTTGACGCTAGAAGCAAGTTAAACCTTGAAGGACATGCTCTCCTCAATCCAGCCCCCCACATGGAACTAGAGCCGATCCCTGTACCTCTACTGACCGTTTCCTTAACACTTCCACACTAATTTGTGAACCTTCATCGCTCACTGCAACCAAGTTATCCTGTTACGATGGTTGAGGAAGACAGAAACCATGCAAGTAACAATGCAACTCGGCAACGGATAGATGTTTGGGCAATTGGCTTGCTCACAAGCCTACTTAGGAACATGATCTGGAGGTGCTGTCGGATGGAAATTTGGAGCCTGTTGACGGCCGGCCGTTTAGCTTTTCCAAGTTGCCCCAAACGCCATCACCACAGTTGGCGCCCTTCTGAAACGCCTCACTTTTTGCGCGCGATACCCTCCCTGGACCGCGAACTGCCACGTCGAAACTAAAAAGCTGGTGTGTAAAGTCGGAAACCAACAGTGTTAGTGTCTGTCAGGGACACAACTTGTTAGCCATTACAAGCCTTTGCGAATCGTTGGATTGGGGATTTGATCTCAAGTCAGGTGATGATCTGCAACCTCAATGGAAGTGAGATTTCATGCGAGCCCGTTGAGAGTGTGCAGGAGGCTGTTACTCTGGATATATTTGGCGAACAAGCCCCCTAGCAAGACCTCCCCCATTGAGCGTAACGAAGCGCGCATATCAGGTCGGCTTCCAGACGGCGGAATAGCTCGTCAAACCTCCCACTGTGATGGGGGCTTTGCTTGGCAGGATGCTTGGTGGGTCTCCACTCTGTGCTGAGGCAAAGTTTCGCTTCCATCCCCCCGAGACTTTATGATGGCGCAATGGCAATGTGTAGCCAGAACTGACGGATTTAAAGATTGAAATGATGGCACATATGGGTTGGGTGGTGAAGTGTTCTCGGTGAGAAATCATGGGAAGGGATACCACATCTTTGCGAGTTCATCAGTTGCGATATGCGGGTGGCGCTGATATCATAGTGTCAAAACAACCATCTTACCAGCCCACAGCTGTTCAAAGGTTGACGGTTTAGAGAGACTGACGTCAGCTGCCGTCTGGCGGACATGATAAGTTCAAGAAGATGGCAGCAGTCAAGACAAAGAAGAGGGGTGACTTGAAAGTTAAGGCAAAGTCGGACTCAAAAACATGTCGCTAGTGCCAATGTCTGCTGCTTATGGGGTGCTCTGTTGGTCGGACAACATGGAAGCTGAAGTAATGAGCTGCAGAGGTTGCATATGACGACGATACGCAAAGGTCGTCAATTTTTCTATCTTCATAAGAGATCGAATTATCGAGGAACAATTGCAGGAGTTCAGTTTAGATAGTGAAGATTGATTGATAGATGACTGGAGGACTGGTTGTCCCCGAGGCAAAAACCACAGGACGACGCGCAAAGCCGAGATCTCCAGTCCTGCACCCAAGCATGTTGTCACAGTGCGTGATCAAGGTATAAATTTAGGTCTTATACTGTCTTCCCGACTTCATTCCATTGAGTCGCAACTTGGTCAACACTCCTCATGGCTCGGCCAAAGGGATGGGTGTCGCTATCATTGAGTCCTCCTATGAATCCGGGGTCCCTCTATCCGTGGATTATCTTTTTTTTATGAATTTTCCGGTCCGTTGCACATGGTCACGCCGAGCTTTGCACGATTGCGGTCAAATTGCTCGAACCCTGCGCACAACGGGATGCCGTAGAGTTTTCTGTTCTCTAGCGCTGAAGGCAGCTAGGCACTGGCGGCGAACGGATCACCACCCGATTTACTCCCACTTGTCGCCTGGCTGAGTTATGCGGCTGCTTGTCCTTCCAGAGACGAGTGCCATATGGCTGCACTCATTCGACAGCCAAAATGCAATTGTTGTAAAGGTGCTGATGAAGCTATCTCGCCCATAACAGAGATTCCAGGGATACGGGGGAACGTTGACGAGTAGCACATGGGCAGAGAATGGAACACTGATGAACTGTGGAGATGCCAGGGATCGACAAGGGAAGCAATCTGAAGCACAGATGGAAATGCCCGTGGGCGTTTTCGGGATCCCACCTCTCCTAATCGGGTGTCTTGGGGACGACATCACAACAGTTCAACCTAGCCGGCCTCCTTTATTTTCCCAAAGAGATCTTGAGTGATCCGAGACGATAACCGATGATGGTCTATAGTCGCGGTTGCGGTGCTTATTCACTTTACCTGTGAAGTGCATCACTGCGGTTGGTGACTGTTTCGCCAAGCTCAGGAAGCATCGACTACTTGCCAAGAAAGCCGCGAACCCGTGCACGCGTGATCGCCGATCACGGGCCACTCAAACAGATGTTTGGTGAAGGGTCCTGACAAAGTCAACCGTGAACCAGCGACTTTTGGTGAACTGTTACTGAGGTTATTCACTTCTGTGTTCTTCTTTTATGCAGATTGGTTGCAAGATCTGGCGCGCGACGACGCCGATAATAAGCCGCTAGGGAAGATCCAGGCAGGGGCAGCACAACCCGAGGAAGGCGGTGTTACACCAAAATGACCTGGCAAGCCAGACCAAGCCAAATCTCTTTCACCCAGCGGCCTAGTTGCTGTTATATGCGTTGCGTATATCTTGGCAAGTGATGGGTTGCTGACGAGCATTTCTTTCACAGCAGCTCTGGAAATCGACCGACCGCTGGCCGTGTCAGAGATGTTGCAGCACTGAGGTTGAGGAAAGGGGAGGCGGGAGGGCGAATGATGGGGTCAGCGTGGGATTTGCGGAGGAAGCCATCATGACCCACATCTGGAATCCCCGACCTAGCCCACAAAAAGATTGCAGAACAAAGAACCTGACGAGAGATGAGTAGGTAGACGTGAGCGTCCCCTGAGCCAGAGGAAGCATCATGAGAAGCTGTTTCATCCATACGCCAGCGTAGATTTTTGAGCCCATGGCCCTGATGAAGCCGACAAGTGCAAATACACAACGGAAAGTGTGATGTTGGGATGGTAGGACGTTGGATTGCATCCACGCAATTACCAGACGCTGAGCAGAGCCTTGATGTCGAATTGGGCCCAAAGAGTCGGAGACATGTTGTCCAGACCGGCTCGGCTGGCTCGATTGGTGACTGGGCGCGCGGAGATACAAGCGTGAGACAGAGCATCCAATGACACGCAGTATTGTCGG